TCCCTGATTCTCTTCGATCTGCTTTCCAACCAGAAAACCGTCTCTGCTGCGCCGCTGCTGCCGGCCGCAAATGGAGAGGTAGAGAGCGAACCCTGCAGGAAACCCTGACGTGTGGAACTGCGTGGAAACGCTGCGTCTCGTTTCAGGTGTCGACTCCTGCTGCGGAGGAGCCGAGCCGAGAGGAAGAGGAGGATGAGGAAGAGTTTGAGGATCTCACTGCTGTGCTGCAACATCTGGGCCTCTCTGACTACAAGAGCACCCTGGACCAGGAGAAGATTGACATCGAGTCTTTAGTAAAAATATGAAAATCTCCTTCAGTTTATATGGATTTGCTGAAGCAGAAAAACAGCTTGAATGTGTTTTTCCAGCTCATGTGTACGATGGAGGACCTGAAGGACATGGGGATCCCGCTGGGCCCGCGGAAAAAAATCACCAAGTTCGTCAAAGAGCGAGTCAGCAGACAGGTGGGCAGCAAAAAACCCAAAACTCTTCACCAGACAAAGTTACAAAAAATCACTAAAATATATCCTCAGCTTTTTTTAGCAGTTAGCAAATAGAAATAATTATTCTAACGAACCTAAAACTCATCAAGACCATTAAAGATATAACGAAAGGAGAACATTTCTGCCAAGAAAGAAGGTTTTAGATTCATTTCAGAAATTTTCTTGAGCAAAACCAGAAAATTTTAGTTTTAAAAGTTGAAAAATTGTTAGAAAAAAAACCTGGAAATTTCTGAATTTCAAATTTAATTTTTTCAGCTTGAAATTTGGAAATTTACTGGGTTTTTTCCCCCAGAAACTTTCTGAACTTAATCTCAAAACTTCAGTTTTCTAGAATTTTTTAAATTGTGAAATTCTGAAATGTCCAAACAGAAATTCTAAAGAACTTCAAAGATTCTCAAAATTTCAGATGTTTTTTCTACCAAATTTTTAACTTTTCAAACTGGGAGTTTTGCATGTTTTTCTTGAAAATTTCTGTGATTAATCTCAAAATTTCAGATTTTTTTTTTCTTTTTTAAAAGCAAATTTTAAAAATTCCAAACTTAGAATTTCCAAACTTTTTCTGTGAAATTTTTGTGAACAATCTCAACATGTTTTGCTGGAAATTTGCTCCTTTCTTTTCTACTTCACTGGACCCTCTTTATGTCCAGTTTCAGGGTCAACCTCTTATCACTTATCTTGAGCTCATTGATCGTTCGCCGATCAATGAGCTCAAAGTCATTAACTGATAGCTTGTGACCTTTGACCCTGCTGGGGGTGTGGTGGCTGTGTGGTCTCCAGGCGGGACGCCAACAGACGAAAGCAGAGGCGAAGGAGGAGAGTCCGGCCGCGGTTCCCCAGGCTGCCGCTAGCAGCGCCACCACCAAGCCACCAGTGGGCAGCACCGTGTCTTCAGTCCATGTCAACTACAACTACTTTGAAGTTGGAACTGGGCAGGTGGGTAAAAACCACTGAAGAAGAAAGATGTTTATGAACCACAGTGGAGCAGCGCCGACGTTCTGACCGGTTCAGACTGGCTCTGACTGGTTCTGACCAGCTCTGACTGGCTCTTACTAGTTCTGACTGGTTCAGACTGGGTCTGACTGGTTCAGACTGGGTCTGACCGGTTCAGACTGGTTCTGACTGGTTCAGACCAGTTCAGACTGGCTCTGACCGGTTCAGACTGGTTCTGACTGGTTCTGACCGGTTCAGACTGGCTCTGACTGGTTCAGACCAGTTCAGACTGGCTCTGACTGGTTCAGACTGGTTCAGACTCTTTCTGACTGGTTCAAACTGGCTCTGACCGGCTCTGCCTGGTTCTGACCGGCTCTGCCTGGTTCTGCAGGTGTCGGTGATCTACCACAGCCTGGACTTCGAGCCGGTGAACTTCTTCGCCCTGGGTTCTCCGATCGGGATGTTCCTGACGGTTCGCGGCCTGGAGAAGATCGACGAGTCGTACCAGCTGCCCACCTGCAAGGGATTCTTCAACATCTACCACCCGGTGCGACGAGCGTCGGGAGAAAAACGTCTACAGACCGTTTTATCTAAAGCTGACAAACTGATCACCATGTAAACGTTTCAGATCAGCCTATCAATAATTATTGATCAGCTTCTTGTTTTAATTCCTCGTTTCCTGTTTTATCCAGTTTTCTCGCCGTTGTTTTTTTATTTTGAAGCAGTTTTTAGGCAAAGTGGGGAAACTTGAAACTGTTGCTGCGTGTGACCCAGCAGGCTGTTGCTAGGCAACCGTAGAGCTGAAAAAGTTCAGTCGATGTTTTATGTATTGATTTTTGAATATTCTATCAGATGTATTACTTATTGATGTTTATTGTTGATTTATTGCCCAGCTCTGCAGCTAGGCTAACGGCGCCGTCTTGTTTCAGTTGGACCCGGTGGCGTACCGAATCGAGCCGATGATCGTCCCAGATTTGGATCTGAAGCCCGTTTTAATCCCACATTACAAAGGAAGGAAGAGGCTTCATCTCGGTAGGAAACTTCTGCTGACTGATCCGTTTCCAGATGTTTCAGTTCTTCATTTCAGAAAAACTCTTTCTGTTGCGTAATCTCAGTTTTACCGTTTGTTGAAACTGAGATTGTGGAGCGAATACAGTGGAAATAAGAGGCACAAACTCTTGCTAAAGTTATTTTCTGCAGTTTAATCATCTGAGTTTCAAATCTCCACCGGGATATTTTTGCATATTTTAATTGTATGAAGTCATTTAAATGTCCTGAGAGTAAATATATTTTTCCATTTTCCCATAACAAATGGAAGATAAAAGAATCCGGGAATCAACTAAATACATTTTCTTAATGGAAAAAAAATCCTCACTTTTCAATAGGAAGTTTCTGTGCAAGATGAGATTTTTAGTGGATTCAATAAAATACACAAATGTTGACATTGTAGTTGTTTGTGATGTGAAAAAATTGTTTTTCCTGTTTCAGTTTTGTGAAATTCACAAATTTCAATACAACCTAAAAAACTTGATTTTACGATAAAAAGTTTTCCCGCTACGGTTGACGTGTTTTGGATCAAAATTAATACATTTTGCAAAACTGCAATGGAAACACTTTTTAATCGCAGTTTTGATCATGAGTCATGTGATCAACAACAGGATGTTACTACTGGCAGAAACACCAAAGAAGACAACAGGAAGTGGTTGGATGAGGTTTTTCAGAAACTTATTGCGTGAACAAATTTATTCAGGTTTGATTTTTATTGTGTTTCTGATGTAATGGAAACAAAGCGATTGTGAAAATTTGACATTAGCGTAATATTGCTAAAGTTTTAGGGCGTTTTGTGTGAATCGGTTGCAGAGCTGAAGGAGAGTCTGTCCCGGATGGGCTCGGACCTGAAGCACGGCTTCATCAGCTCGCTGCGCAGCGCCTGGCAGACGCTCAACGAGTTCGCCCGCGCCCACACCTCCTCCGCCCTGCAGGCCGAGCTCGCCATCGTGGCCAATCAGATCGAGCAGGAGGAGCAGCAGCACGTTCACGACGGTACGTCCGTCTTCTTCTTCTCTGTAACTCCGGGTCCGAGTTAAAGAGAACGCTGTCATCGTTCGCCACAGAGCATAAAGTCGCCGAGAGCGTGGAGCTGCAGAGGGAAGACGAGCCGCAGGTGAAGATCGGGATGCTGAACGGAGGGAATCGGATCGACTTCGTCCTGCAGGAAAAACCCATCGAGAGCTTCAACGAGTATCTGTTCGCCCTGCAGAGCCACCTCTGCTACTGGTAGGTCAGAGTTCACTGAGCCGAGCCGTTCGGGTTTCACACTACGGCTCATGGGAAAGAAAACAATGAAGCTTTGAATCAGTGATGATGTCACTGGATATTTAAGACAAAAAGGAAAATTATTGAGCCAAGAATAAAGTTTTATTATTACCAGAAAAATACATTTAAATTATGAGGAAAAGTTGATTTAACAAGTTAAAAGTAAAACTTAACAACAGGCTCAACTTTCCTCATTTGTTTTTTAATTATCATAAATTTACAATATCATTCTGGTGATAATGTGACTTAATTTTCATATTATTACGACTTTTTTATGGTAGTAATATGAGTTTATTCTCTGGCCTAAATATCCTAAAATATCAATCATGTTTCTAGGAGAAAAAAACACGTAAGAACTCTTTAGTGATTATCACATTTTTGTGTTTATATAATAACTGATTTGTCCTGAAATGTTAATTTTAAAAAAGAACTGCAGGAAAAATAAAAACAAAAGTGTTGAAATTAAACATAGTTAAGAACAGAAGATTAAACTCATTATTACCAAATTTTTACCAATAAGTGGAAAAAATGTGAACCAGAAATGGTTTCTACTTTTTCTGTAAATCATAAACTAAATTGTTGATTCTGATGCAAAAACTAATAATTCTTACTTTAGTAAAACTATTTATTTTAAATCTTGTTATTCTCAGATAATCTCACCAAAGTACTGCAAAGAGTTTTTCATTCAAGATTATTTATGTAAAATCAGTGGAGCATTGCTTTAATAAAAAATAACTTCCGATACATTTTTTTTAGTTGCTAAATATAGTGACAAGGTTCCTCAGTTTGTTGTGAATTTAACGTTTCATTTCCATGCAGCTTTTAGAAAATAAGAGTTTGGCAGTAATTCTTCTGTGTTGGTGGAGTTTTGATGTAAAGCGTTAAAAGTTTTTCCGCCTGCCGTGTTTCTGTTTGCTCCTGCAGGCAGTCTGAAGACACGGCGCTGCTTCTGCTGAAGGAAATCTACAAAACCGCTGGGATCCATCCGGAGCCGCTCGCTCATTAATGCTCTGATTACTCGGTTCTGTTTTTCTATTTTTATTGAAGTAGCTTATTGTACACAGATGAACAATATGTTGGTATTATACCATTTGTTTTAAATTAAGAAACAAACGAATGAGTTGGAGAAGCAGAGACACTTGACTGAGTTATTACATTTTTATAGCAAATATACAACAGGTGGCCAAGGCGGAACAGAAACAGCCAATGCAGTCGGATGTAAGTTATTCATGGACAAATTGCCACAATAAATCCATTTTTTGCTCATTTGTTTTTATTATTCAGCTTTTAACGGTGGCGTGCCGCCAAGAGGAATACGTGTCATTTCTCCTGTCAAGCCAGGAAACCTTGAAACGGCCTAAAAAAGCTGCACAATCAGCAAAAACGTAAATAATTACAGTATAGAATGCAACGCAGGAGCAACCTGGTATATTTAAGACAGTCAAAGCACCTTTTATGTAACGTCCTCTCGGCTTAAAACAAGCAATAGTTAATATATTCCTCTAGAACCTGCAGGTTCAATGATAGTCTGAAATGTTTGGAACGTATTTACATGTAAGAACAACTAGATTCAGGGAAAAACAGCAGCATGAGCCGTGTGCTGTAGTTCATCCTCTGATTGGTCCAACGCATTTAAACTGACACAATCCTACAATAAAAAACACAAAATCTTCCCTTTTTATCCTCTCGGCCAGTCTGAACAAAAACTGATGTTTTCCTAGTTAAACTCTGTAAATAAATCAAGAGGCCAAAGCTACGAAGAAATATTTTTATCCACATTTTAGTGCAAATCTGACCTTGTGGGTTAAAAGAAATCTGCCATAAATACAAACTTAGGCACCGAATTATTTGTATTTGATCAGTTCAGTCCCTCAATTACGTGGTAAAATATTCCTTAAAGATTCCAAAACAAATCGATGACGAGTTCAGGTGACCAACATCGAGTCTTTTAAAATCTTAAGGCCAGACTAAGAAAAAATTAAATTAGAAAATAGTCATAATATTGTGAGAAAGAGTCGGAATAATTCGAGCCATATTACCAGAAAAAAGTTAAGTGTTAAAAGAACAGAGTGGGAATAACGCAAGAAAAAAAAGTTTTACGAGAATGAAGTCGAAATAGAACGAAAAAAGTTGCATTTTATGTCATTAATAGAAAAATGTCGTAGAATTAAATAAGTGGTAGAAAAATAGTTCAGTGTCATGAAAACAGTCGTAATTATATGAAAAAGTTATGAGACAAAGTTGTATGTGAATTACCGAAATGTTACCAGAATAAAGTTCCAATTGTACAAAAAATAGTCACAAGGTGAAAAGTCGGAATAATATGAGTCCTAATAAAATCGTCAGAGAATAAATATATAATATCAGAAAGGTCACAAGAGAAAAAGTTGTATGTTGTGAGAAAAGTCATAATAAACTTGCAATATTAGTGGAATAAAGGAGTAAATTTTATAAGAATTTCTCCTGGAAAAATAAAATTTTTAACACTTTAGCATCAGATAATTATCACCACATCGAGATTTTGATCTCATTGAAAACATTTTTCTAGTCATTAATCTTAGTCTGACCCTAAATCGCCATCTTACTCAGAAGTTCAGCTTTTTACAGGAAACCAGTAGTGCCAAGAATCGAGCCGTGAATCTTCCTTCATAGTTTGGGCCTCTGAATATTAAATGGTCAGAAAATACTTTAATCTCTGCTGAGAGAAAGTGCAACTTCCTGTTCTCATGCTCAATAAATTACTAATGTGATTTTTTTCCCCCCACCCCAAAACTGGTTTACTGTTTATTTTCTCCAAACGCCGCTGGATGCTGCCTGCCTACGCTGCTTCCCCGTGTCTGAGAAGCAGCTGAAATGTTTCACATTCAGAAGCAGCAAGAAGACAGTGAAGGAAATGTGACCCTCAAGATCACTCTTACCGATTTTCAAAAAGTTTGCAGAAACAAAACACGGCCCTCTGTACGCCGCCACGTCTTCCTGTCAGTGAAATACTGCTGACTTGATTGTAAGGCTTCCATTTTGTGCCACATTTCACATTTTTCTACATTCATTTGTCTACAGCTGTGCAGAAAAGAAGCAGAAGGATTGATTAACCGCGATTAATCACTATTAATCACCGTTAACTGGTACACTGTACACATCACATCTTCCATCAATCAGGATTAAATATCTTTTTGCTGCGGCGCCCCCTTAAAGCTACAGTATGTAACTTTAAGATTTGTTTTTTACATTTTTGTTGAAATTGTCTTTATGTTGCGAGTTTGATAAGATGCAGATGATCTGAAGAAAAAATGTTTCTCTACCTTGTCCCTGTACCATCCAGAAACAACCAATCAGAGCCAGGAGGCGGGGCTTAGTGCTGTCAATCATCTTCCCCCTCTTCTGTCATGAATGACGGGGTAGTTAGCATGACCACCAAAGACGGAGGATTAGCTGTTTTACTGCAAGTTGTTTCTCCATCATTTGCACATTTATCAGTGCGTTCACGGCGATGATTGACAGCGCTAAGCCCCTCCTACTGTCTCTGGTTGTTTTTGATGCATTTCTTCAACAGTAGCTCAGGTGGATGAGATCGATCTTTTCACAGATTATCTGTCTCATATCAAACATGTCAAAACCTATTTTAATAAAATTCCGTACAGCAGCTTTAAGTCTCGTTTGGGAATGTCGGCGGCGGCTCTTCTTCTTCCTCAGGCCTCCGTCTTGCTCTGCGTTTTGAAGGCCTGCTTCCGGAGGTGGGCCTCAATCTCGTCCCGGAAGACCAGCATGCCCAGGTGGGGGTGCGACGCCTCGTTCATGGCTTTGGACTGGATGCACATGCGGTACTGCTCCGGCGTCAGCTCGTCCGCACACTGCTTCTCGTGCCACAGGTGGAAGAGGCTGGACACCGGCGCCCGGATCACGATCAGTTCGCTCCGCAGGTACTTCCTGTACAGGTGGACGTCCTCCACGCCCCAGCCTTTCACTTCCAGATCAAATCCGCCTGCAGGAATAAAACATTGATCGATAAATTTCTTTCAATTTCGGGTGGCTTTTGGCATTGAACCCAGGAAACGATTAATCACAATTAATCATTCAATAGAAAACTAGACTAAATTTACAACTAAATAACTCATAAAACTGAACCGATATACACACATTTATACACATCTATGTTAAAATAATTCAAAATTATTTCAGTACATATTTGATCATTATTAGCTCTGCTGCTTTATCTATGATTGATCCAGATATTTGATTGGTTAACCTGCACAGCATCTTAACTGTAGACTAATACACAACTGTAAGATTTTGTGCTGCAATGTAAAGAAATAACATTTTTTAAATGATTTAAAAGCAAAATGATTAATTGATAATTCGTCAACTGAATTGATTAATCGTTAACTGGAGTTTCTCGAAAAGGCCATTTGCTGAAAGAATAACACACTCAGTTATATTAAGCCAAAAATGTATGAAAATCTGTTTTTCGCGTCAAACGAGTCACATGATCAACAACCTGATGTTTCTACTGGCAGAAACCACAAAGACGACAGGAAGTAGTTGGAGAATTTGTTTTTTCAATGATTTATTGTGTAAGAAAAATCACTCATGCGTTTTTAAGACGATGTTTTGCTAAAAGGAATCAAAGAAAACTGTTGAATAGATCAGATACAAGTGTTTTTAATGTGATAAATAAATATATCACAACCTGTTTGTTGCTTACCGATGTTTAGGAAATCTGAGCGATACTGGCAGGTCATTCCAAATCCAAAATCTCTCCAAAATCCAGCGTCTTTTTTGTGAATCTGGAGATAAAAGTTCAGAGTTAAGATTTTCCATCATTTAAGGTTATTCAGTGCTAATAGAGGGTTAATTTTAGGCGTCTCACCAGCTGTTGTTCAATAGGTGGAGCCAGCTCCAAGCTTCCGTAAACAATGGCCGGATTGTACAGACTGAACACCACCGGATAGAAAACCTTCTTGTCTGCAAAAGTATGACAAAAATTCATGAAACACTGGAGAGTTAAACTGGGAATATTAAGATCCGAACATGTGGAGGAACTTACTGGGAGCGGCGTGGAGCCGGCACGTGTTCAAGAAGTCCAGGGAGAAACGAATGTCCACGTCGCAGAAAAACATCAAGACGTCGCCGTTCTTCCACGCGTTGGCGCCGATGTCCAAACCGCGGCCGCGAGAAAACTCCTCGTCCACCGGGATCAGAGTGTAATTAGAGAAAGTCTCGTCTCTGCAGGGAAAAACGACGATTCATACAGTTGACTTGCATAAAAACTCACAAAGTGACGAGAGCTGAAATGAGTCATTGATTATGTAAGAATCGGTTAATCGCTAACAAAAATATAGATACAAAAAAGGCTATTTGCTTAAAAGACACACTCCATATATATATATATATATATATATATATATATATATATATATATATATATATATATATATATATATATATTATATATATATAGCAATAGAGCAATAGAGGCCCAGATCTACCACACCAGACAAGACCCAAGGTGTAGGTTGTGCAAGGAGGCCCCTGAGACAGTCCAGCACATCACAGCAGGGTGCAAGATACTGGCAGGGAAAGCGTACATGGAGCGACATAACCAAGTGGCAGGCATAGTGTACAGAAACATCTGTGCAGAATATGGACTGGAAACCCCAAGATCAAAGTGGGAAACACCCCCAAAGGTGGTGGAGAACGCCAGAGCTAAGATCCTGTGGGACTTCCAGATCCAGACAGACAAAATGGTAATGGCGAACCAACCAGACATTGTCGTAGTGGATAAACATCAAAGGAAAGCCGTTGTGGTAGATGTAGCAATACCAAGTGATTGCAACATCAGGAAAAAGGAGCACGAGAAACTGGAGAAATACCAGGGCCTCAGGAAGAACTGGAGAGGGCCTGGAAGGTGAAGACCACAGTGGTGCCTGTGGTCATCGGGGCCCTCGGGGCAGTAACCCCCAAACTGGAGCAGTGGCTACAACAGATCCCAGGAACAACATCAGACATCTCAGTGCAGAAATGTGCAGTCCTTGGCACAGCCAAGATACTGCAGGACCCTCAAGCTCCCAGGCCTCTGGTAGAGGACCCGAGCTCAGAGGATAAGAACCACCCGCAGTGGGTGAGAAGGGAATTTTTATGACTTAATCTGTCGAATGAATAGATGTGTGTTTACTTTGTGCAACTTGAAATAAAAAATAAACGACTGTTGAAAAAAAAAAATAAAGTGATAAAAGCACAAGAAGACAAACCGAGACATTTTCTGGAGCGATGACTTCACTTCCTGCAGTCCTTCCTGCCCAAAATAAACCACTGTGAGATGGACCTGCCTGTCCCGCTGAACACACACCTCCCTGAACACAGACAGGCCATTTTCATTAGTATTCAGTTCCCACAGAGCTGTTTAAATAAAAAACAAGCAGCTTCATTTCTCACAGACATCAGAGGCTCGTTGTCTCACCGGAAGTTTTGTAAGAACTGTGAGAAAGTGTCGACTCGGCCCGCCAGCGGCACGATGATGTTGATGATCATCCCCAGCGTCTCCACCGACGTGCTGCGGACTTTCATTATCGGCCCAAACGGCCGGAAGAGCGAGACGTGTCGGAAGCTGCTGGAGTCCTCCTTGGCGAAGAAAAGCTCGTAGAGTGTCCCTTTGTCTCGCTCTGTCCTGTACAGGCCTGCAGCGCCCAGACGGAGACAGCAGAGCAAAAACAGGCGGAATATTATCAGAATGAGGTCAAATGAGGTGATGAGCATCTTCGTATCATTTAAAGGTAAAAAATATTAAATCACATCAAATTATCAGCAGCAGAACTTTGAAATGAAATAACAACTAAGTTTGTTTCAAGCTCATCATGTCGGATCTGTAATGAGATTTTTTCTCATTAAAACGACTTTTTCCATCTTAATTTTTGAAGAGGAACATTTTTAACATTAAATTTTTAAGGTAAAATTACCTCAATACTCAATTTTATGACTTTATCATAATTGAACAAAACTGATTGCAATCCGGGCCCAATACTCTGTCGTAAAACTCACAGAAGAAATGAATGAAATAGATATATTTTCTGTAAATTCTAATTCCTTTTTTAGAGAAGAAATTAAGAATTAAAAAAGACTAAGATCGGATATTGGATCTTACAGAAGAGGATTAGGGCCAAAATGAGTCGGTGATGTGACTTTGCCATTATGAGAATTTTGAGTTTAAAGACAAAATTCTGACATTGAAGTCAGAATTTATACTTTTCATATTAAAATATTAATTTCTTAAAGTAAAGATTTTGAGGTTTAAACCAGGAGTCAAAATTCTGAGATTTGAATTGGATTCTGACTTCAATCAAAATTCATACTTTTAATTCCGAGACTAAAGTCATAATTTGTACCTTTCATATTAAGATACTGAACTCTCAGATTAAAGTTTGTATTTTTGGCCCTGTTGCTGTTCCGTAGGCTGTTTGTCTTGCCTTCCATAAAGTGGTTGTCCGTGTAGGTCTGCCTCTGCACAGGGACGTCCTCCTCCATGCCGTCCTCCTCGTCCGGGTTGTTGATGATGTCCAGCGCCGCCTCCACCGCCTCCACCAGCTCGTCCCGCCGATCCTTGCGGACCGGCTTCTCCTCCGGGTGCCGGGTCAACCCCATCTCCAGCTGGTACACCTTAGAGGAGGTGAAGCTCTCGAAGGGCACCAGGGCGTACTCGCTGGGCAGCCGCGCCCCGGCACTGACCTCGGCCTTGTCGATCTGGGAGTGCAGGAACTCCAGCAGGTCGCCGGGCTCCTGGTCTCGGTTCTCGCCCAGGCCCTGCACGCCCGGCGGCTCCTTCTTCTCCTGCATCAGCTTCAGCTTGTCGCTCATCTCCTGCAGCTCCTGCTTGAGCTGTGCGATCTGGCGCTTGAGGCTGGAGGCGCGGCTCAGGTGGCGCTCCTCGTGCTCCTGCAGCAGCGCCTGGTAGTACTCCTTGCCGAAGGGCTCGCCCGGCCCGGGCAGCGTCTGGCTGGCGTTGACCGGCGGCGTGCACTCCAGCATGTAGGCGATTAGCAGCATCACCAGGAGCAGGAAGAGGGCCAGCAGGAGCCAGCGGACCCGGCCCTGCAAGGGGAACCCCCGCCTGGGCATCACGTCCGCATACGACCTACTGCTGGGAAGTCTGCATCACGTTCCTCCTGCTCACATCGCTCAAAGTATTCCTCTAAAACGTAACGCTTTGCTGGCGTTTCATGGCTCCGTTTTGTTCCAACAATCACCTGTGAAGGAAACAAAAAAAACACAGAATCACGACACCTGTCAACTAAACAAGTATTACCAATCATCCCATAAGTTATTGAGATAAACAATAATGTCTTGAGACTATTTTCAAGTAATACAATATAATGCCATAACAACAATACAAAAACATTCTCAAATATCAATAAACCCTAAATTCTAATGTAAATTAAAGATTAAATTAATTAAACATCCAAAAATTAAACAAAACAACAAATAAAACTCCTTATATCAATATCATGCTCTGTAGCAGTCGCTGCATTTCCATTAAAAAGTGCCCAAAACTTTCTCAGTATTCCTGTTATGTTGAAAAGAAAACAACACAATTTTCCAACTGCAGTGTTTTCATTACATAAGAAATTTGTTAAAAAACATGTTTGACACTATGTCTCAAAGACGATTAATGCGCTGTCACCACATAGACAGGCCAGTCTTTCTTCTCCTTAACCACACTGAGTCACCACTGACATTTTTCTTCCACTAAACTTTCCAAGAATTACCTCGGATACAGCACTGAGCCTCTGTAGCGATGACGGCTTGAGGACGTCAGTGACTGTCAAGTCAGCACTCTTTTCTAAGATAGTAAAACACAACATGGTGATAACGTAGCGTTTAAAGACCATCTTCTATTAGCCTCATGTAGGATTCTAACGGTCAGGCGAAATGACTTTTTGGTTTTCATCAACGAAAACGTTGGGGAAAGACGCCGAAAATATAACAAATGGAGTCTATATAACAATATTTAAAAATTTAACCGACACACGTCGATAAACGTGTCAATAATATTCAGTTTTATCGATTAAACATTGAATTTACGAACTAGCCGAGCCGTTACTGTACTTACGACTGTAGTCTTATTTTGAAAAGTCGAAAGCGGAAACACGGAAGGTTCTGAGACCTTTGAGACGTTGAGCTTCTCCGCGACGCCTCCAGCTTATCTAGCGCCCGAAAGTAATGCTCATTAATCGGCGATGGTCGTTAAAAAAATGCTCCCCACCTGGTTTTGCGTTCGTCCATCTCTGCCTGTGCTCGAAGCGGAAATGTTTCCCACGAAACCAGCAGCCTACGGCAGCTTCTGCCCACAGAGCGCCACGGAGCACAGAGAAAAGAGTGGGTCGCAGTCTACTTCCGGTCACAGGAGAGCCAATAGGAACTTTGTTGGCGAGTGACGTCATCAATCACGCTGCTTCTCTTGTATCTCAGTGACAGCGCTTTGAATTGTAAAATAATTACTGATTTTCTCGTGGGAAATTAAATGTTTTTGTAACTTAAATATATAATGAAGGACTGATCTCCTGTAGCAGTCAGTGTTACAGTGTGTATATGTTGACCAACAATAATGTCATGAAGAGGACGCTTGGGGTTTATAAAAAATGGCAAATTAGTTCTCTTTTCACTTTCTTGTCGTTAGTAGCATTAATATAAACTCCTACATAATAGTCAGTTTCTTCATTGTATGCTGTAAATTCTCACTCTTTGACCTCTGTGAATAAAAGCTTTTGGACATTCTAATTTTTCTTTAAATAATATATAAATGTAAACATAGAAAAGTGACATGTTTGCTGCAGAAAAATCTACAGTGAACTAAATTTTTCTCAGAAGTTGCATGTTTTGTCTGCTGACCCAAAGCTGATATCTGTGATGATGTGCTAAATGGATTAACCCTGTTGGTTCAGATACATGATGAATCTGTTTGATCTTTATCGTTTTTTATCACGTTTCCCAAAGTAAACCAGGAAATGTCATGAGGGCTTATTTTTAGTTTCTCTAATTTCCTTCATTAAACCCGTTAGAAGCGACCCATTATGGACGGATTAATCTGTTATGAAGGATTTGCCCTGATATACCAGCCATATTCTTCTGTGTTTGTCATTTGAAACATTATTGGATAATACGGTAAGTTAAATGATTTTTAAAATAAGGAACTGAGAAAAATGAACTGTATTAACTGAATAAAAGGTTAACATAACTTACTACGGTAAGATTATATTTCAGGAACTTATACATAATATTAAAAGATATAGAAAACATAATATATACATATATGGAGAATATGTAAATTTGATTTTTAATTTTATGAATTCGTTCAGTGTTGACTGAAGATAATCCTTATAAAAGCCTTCTAGGTTTACTCCAATGTATTCCAAAATCAAATTCGATTTATCTGCTGTATAGAATAAACTGGTCAAGCAAACTGCTCATTTGAAGTTATTATTTTTTATTAACCAGAACAAAATCAAATACCATAACAGCAATACCACACATTGCTTTACATAATTATGACAGACAGTGTTAATGAGACACAGGATGTGCGCCGAGCCACCAATCATCTCCTCTGGTTGGACCAGCCCTCCCTCTACTGTAACTTTTAGTAAAAACCGAAGAGAAAAGTTAGAAAAAACAAAGAGTTCAGGCATTCGTTTTTCTTTGGAAGCTTTGAAACACAAAGCAGGTTTGAGAGTTTCAGGACAAAACAATCCAGTTATGAAAACGTTTTTTTTTTCTTAATCTCCTGGGCTGAAACAGGAACCTCATCAACAGCTGGAGGCCGTGTAAAAAGCAGCACAGGCACTTAAAGACATCGACACTGACATACAGTCTGGTACAACAGTCATGCAGTGATACAGTTTGGTCAGCATGACCTGTGAGGTAATAACGAGGAGCGTGGGGCTGGTCTGAACGACAAAAAATAAGAATAAAACAGTTGAAAACAAACAAAATGGCGGGTATTGACCCTTTGCGTGTGGCGTCACGCTGTTCGGAGCGCAGTCCGCTCTGCCATGACGGACGTAAAAATATCGCTTTTATTTAACTGGTTTCACTTTAAAAACAGACAAGCGTACAAACGAAACTTGTATTTTTTTATTGTATTATTTTTATTTTTATTGAGGAAAGACACGGTTGCGATGGAGACCAGCTGTCGATGTAATGACTGTTAGCCCTCGGTGTAATGGCGGATCTGCAGCGGACACTTTCTAACAAGGTAAGAAGATTAACGATCATAAACTTTATGATGAAGTATGATTAGGAAGATGCAATCAAATATTGGATTATAGAAAAGGGGCACGTTAAACCGTTCGTAACCATGGAGATAAGCTCCACCGTCATGTAGCCTAGCATGTATGGAAACAATCTGGTTAGCATGTCGTTTTTTAAGGCTGCTCTGGTTAAAGGGAGGAAACGCTGTTATATAAATTATGTGGTGTAAATTCAGGGTAAAATGGTAATTTTATCAACACGTCAGGAGGAAGGAAACATCGGTTTCTAAACTAGCTGTTTCCAACTTTTGTGAATAGCGCTGTCTATGTGTTACATTCACAGACAAATTAGCTGGACTTGAACAAGAAGCAGCCATGAATAAACTGTCAACAAAACAACTTGGGAAAACAACTGTTCCATACATATTTCTCATGTGATGACACACTTCCTGAAGTTAGTGACTGACGGCCATTTTGATAGGCAGTTGCTATGACAACAGTAAACAAGCCATAAGCTTAGAACAAGCTCTCATCTCCCTCTGATTAACTTATAACCAAAATAAGTACATTAGAACTATTACTCGATTACTATTTTTGAATACACCCCACATCTGTGTAATACTAAGATAAATATCAGTGACATTTACTGTAGTACTTATTGCTGAACTAGCAAAATGTAGCTTTTATCTCAAGCTAAAACAGACATATAGTCGTTGTGTGTGTCACATAGACTGTTCGTTTTTACAAATCTTTTGGAACATTTATTCCGTGTTAATAATAAGTATGAGATCAGAGGCAGCTTGTCCACATAGCCTGAGATATTTCTCTACTCTGTCTCATATGGGTCAATTCCAACAACAGCCATTTTGTTCATGTATTTTTCTTTTGCACACTGGTCAAAAGTTTCCACATATTTTCTTTTTGTTGCAAGAGATTGCCTAACAAGCTGGTGCTGATCACTTCCAGTTCAGACATGTGGGAACTACTACCATACTGCACTTCCGATGTCCACCATGGCAGCTCCAGTGATTAAGTGACGTAGCAGCAAAGGGTCAATACAAACTCAGAAAAATAAATATACATCTAGCAGTTACCCATGTTTTCTACAGTGCAGCGTTGCCTTTAGCTATCGAGCTTGTCCACAGCTTTAGCGGGTGAAGGCAAAGCCATCCAGTTTGCATAAACACTATCATTGGCATATCTTGTAAAGACCGGATTAGTGGCATCGTGTCTGTTGAGAGGTACCGGGCTCGTCTCGGGCCAGCTGGGGTATGACATGCCTAAAAATGAGAACATATCATTTTTCTGCACTCTGTGAGAGGTAAACAGGCAGTACGGCTCTGGAATCAAACTCAGTGGTGTTATTTACAGGTTTCAGATTTTATACACCCTAAAAGCACTTTATAACAGATGGCTAATAAATGGTTAATAGATGTGTTATTAAGTTATCTATAAACACTTTATAAATGATTGATAACTGTTTGTTATGCATAGGTTAAGGGTGAGAAGGAGCCAAAAATACACCTTTGCATTAGGCCTGTCGCAATAAATCGCTTGATAGAACAAGCTCAATTATTTCCATTTTTATGATTATAATCTTTCTATTTTTTGTCTTTTGACCAAAAATTTAATAAAAATCTTCAGTCTGGTGTTTTTTTGTCTCAACTATCCCTTTTTTGAAGGATAGTTTTGTTTACAAAATTCATTCATTTTATTTGTTGTTTTTGTTTATTGTATTTTTAACATTTAAAATGTCTTCCAGTCCCAGTGTTAAATGTTCATTAGGGTTTAAAGTTTATTGATATTGAGAATGTGTTCTTACATTATTATACCATTAATTGAAAATGGTCTCAAAATAAGAATATTATCGTTTATCACGATCTGTGGATTATTTCAGAAAATTAATATTTAGCCTTCTTTAACAACTGTAAACAGAAACAAACACCTGACATATTTCAATCTGTTTTATGAATTTTAACAGGAGTAGAGGTGAGAAAACTACTTTTTTTAATAGATAAATGTGACAGGAAACACATTTTTGTTCTTAAAAAGTTAATTATGTTAAGACTAAAATGACATCATAGAGCAGATAAACTCACCTACTAAAATCCTTATCATCATCATTTTAAATAATATATCATCTTACCAGTGTAACTAATCTGTCTTAAATAAAATTAAGCTAATATTCATGTTTTTGTGTAAATAATAAAACTGCGATTTTTCCTGGAGGTTTTCATAGTGGCCTGTTCTACAAATGTTTAAGTACTTGTGTTTTTATGATGCAGTTTTTGTCACCTGAGAGTTGCATTCAAAAGCCTTACTGTTTACTCTGTTCAGCTTTTTAAAAACACATAAAAGTCAGAAGAATTTTCCAAACCACAGTGAATCAGTGAGGACCTGTTTCAAATGTTACACTCTGTTTCCTCCAGTGTTTCAACAATACAAGCTTTATGTGAAAATGAGCCATCTCCTAATTAACATCAATGATAGATGATAAATTAGAATATAGTCAATATTTACAAATGTTGTATTTTTTTGGTCAGCACACATTAGAAGCAGGTCCAAATAAAACAAAAGAAAAGACACAGGATCTTTTTTTCCTTTCTTCCCACACTGAGCCTCTCATTTACGGTGAAATGGGAGAATCAAACAGCAAAAGAAGCATGCCTAGGTCACAGTCACACACACTTGACTACAGTTAGAAAAACTAAACAAAACAAAAAAATAAATAAGAACACCCAATCACAGCTTGCCAAAAAAGAGTCGTGTATTCTGTTTCTAAAAGCGAGTAAATGCGTGGGAGATTCTACCATAGAGCTTGTTTTCAATCCATGTGGAGGGGAGGGTTCGAGGGAGAGGGGCGTTATTACAGTCCACTAGTGGGGTGTCCTCTTCGGAGAGGGCGTCGTCGTACAGCAGGGCGTCGGCCGGCGTGGACGCCGCCAGGTCCAGGTAGTCCTGTGAGGAGCGGAGGAGCGAACAGTCAGGTCGGGCTGAGCTCATGGTGAAGGTCAGACTCATGGAGACGGCAGAGGCCCGCCAGTAAAACTATTTAATTAAAACCCGGGACTGCCACTGTAAATCTCTGGGAAAGTTTTCAGCATTCCTGTCTTCAGTACTGACTCTGAACTCTTTAATTAAAGTGGTTACAATGGGCATGGTTGCATTGTTGCCCCAGCTTGCACAAAGACAATTTTCTGAGTCAAAACCACTGAAGATAAAACCATCTGTCAGATTGTTGCGCTGCATCGCTGTTTCAGGACTCCTCCACATTTTTATGGGCACAAAAATAAAACATTTCAGTTGGATTTAACCCAATTTTAGAGTTCAAAGTTGATTTAAAGCAAATAATCTACAGCAGTCAGGATGAATGATTGGATGAACCGAAAGAAAGATGGATGGTGGACAAGAGGAAGTATGATGTATGAATTGATAGAAAGATGGACGGTTGGTTGAATGTTGGACAAATGGATAAATAGATGGATGAAACTCGGCTGTTTCAAAGAAGCAGAGAGGCTGACAGGTGAAGCATGACTGCTAATACTTGAAGCATTCTAGGCTAACAAGTGAATCAGTTTGGCAAACTGGTGAAGCAGCTAGCTAACACATGAAGCAATTAGGCTAATAGTGAAGCAGCTAGGCTAACACATAAATTGGTTTGGGTAAATAGTGAAGCAGATAGCTAACAGGTGAAACAGCTAGGCTAGCATGTGAAGCAGCTAGGCTAACACATGAAGCAGCTAGGCTAACAGACAAAGCAGGAAGGCTAACAAGTGAAGCCCAAATGCTAACACGTGAATAATTGGAAAAGCAATAGGTGTAGCAGATAGTGAAACATGGAAGCAGCTAGGCTAACATGTAAATCATTTTTTGTAACTGGTGAAACAGCTAGCAAACAAATGAAGCAGTTGGTAAAACATGCGAAGAATCTGGCTAACGTATGGCAGCTGGGCTAATACGTAAAGGCTAACTGGTGTAGCAGCTAGACTAACAGGTGTAGAAGCTGTGCTAACAGGTATACAACTGTGCTATGAGGTGCAACTGCTGTGCTAACAGGTGTACCAGCTAGGCCAACCCCCTCTGAGGTCTGTCCCAATAGATCGAGTGGATCCGGCCTCAGATTGTGTCAAACTGAACTCCATACCCGACTCTTCACCATCATCTTCTCCAGCTCTTTGCTGATATCTGAGAACGTCGGCCTCTTGTCCGGCTCCTGCTTCCAGCACCGCAGCATGAGGTTATACCTACAGAGGAAAAAACGTTCCACAGCTCGTGAAACACGAATCGTTTCTTCCCCCAGCGGACTCGTTTCTCCCCATCTTGGAGCGGCGGAGGGAAGTTACAGCAGTCAGCAGAAATGCTAAAAGACGGGAGCTCACATTTCCTCAGAGCAGTTCTCTGGTCTCTCCATCCGGTAGCCGGTCTTGAGGAGGTTGAAGAGGCGTTCAGGAGCGATTCCTGGGTACGGGTTTCCCCCCAGGGTCACTATCTCCCACAGCAGCACACCGAAGGACCAGCTGGAAAACCGGGAAGCATTTTCCAGTCACAAAAACAGATGAACTGCCTTCTGATCCAAATCCCACACTCTGGGAAACCCTGATCCATTTCCTTATTGCTACAACCAGAAAGTACTGATTCGTTTAAAATAAACCCAGCATGAGCAAGGTGACAGATGACCTGAAACAAAATAAATCTATAACAGGATAAATACTTGTGAAGTACCAAGTATAAAGTTTTCTTATTAACTGCGGAGGTCATAGGAAGTTCCTTCCAATTTACCGAGATTCTGGATTTTATTTCTTCCACATGTATATTTTCTTAATTAGTTTTTTAATTTGTAACCATTATTGCTGCTGTAGTTGTGACAGTTACATGAAAGCTCAGCTCCTACTCACACGTCGCTTTGAGTTGTGTAAATGTGATCGAACAGAGACTCTATCGCCATCCACTTCACAGGAATTCGGCCCTGTTGAACAGAATCAGACTTAGTTTGGGTTTTACTGTTACAAAATGTTTCAATTTGTCTAAATTATATTTAATTTTTCCCAACCTTGCTCCTTTTAACATACGAATCCTCCTCATAAACGTCCCGGGACAGACCAAAGTCGGAGATCTTCATCTTTCGTCCCTCAGCGACCAGGACGTTTCGCGCAGCCAGGTCCCTGTGAACGAGCTGATGGGGCAAAAATAAAACTCACTATTAAATTAAAACTGATTTCATGTACAGCAGGATTTATACACACTTAAAACATCGTGATTAGTCAAATTAATCTTGATTAATTATTTCAGGAATAAAAGAAAGTAAAATAAAAATTCTCTTTGCATTTGCAGTTAATTGAAATAATTTTTGTAATCCTATTTAACCTGACTTAATTTGTTATTATTGGTAATAAATATTAGATTTAAGCGAATTATTTTGGCTTAAATGTTCAGTATCTGAAATGTTAAATTGCTAATAATTATGCAGGTCATAACAAACTTTGCTGGATGATAAATCATCTCAGAACTTATTGCGATAAATTATAATATTGCAATTTTAAGACTATTTTCAAGTAATACAATAGTAAAAATATAAGAAGACATTCTCAAAGTGCAATAAACTTTAAATTTAAATGAACTTTTAACGCTGGAGCTCAAAGACATTTTAAATATTCAAAATAAACAAACAAAACAATAGAAATGTTAATTAAAATCAATTCTGAAGTCTCTGTAAACATACAAAAAGGGCTAAGTGAGACCAAAGCACCAGAATTTTGTCATCCAGTTTTTGGTAGAAAGAGAAACAAAAATGATGCAGATGGAAATTATTGAGCTCATGCGATGAATTGATTTATTGGCCCACAGTGGCTTTAGTCTCTCTACACACCTTCATTTCTGCCAGGTACTGCATGCCTCTGGAAATCTGCCAGGCGAAGGAGATGAGGTCTCCCATGGTCAGCGCCCTGTCATCCGGGTTCTCCAGGTAGCTGGAGTTTCGGTTTGCATCCCTGCCCATGTAGCTGGGGCCAACTTTCCTGCTCTCACGCAGGAAATTACGGAGCGACCCAAATTTGGCATACTCAACGATGAGGTACAATGGCCCTATTGAGAGAAACGCAGCACTTAGAGGCCGAGCGGCGCGCGCCGCGGAGGAGAAGGAGCGAGGCCTCACCGTCCTGGCTGCACGCGCCGTACATCTTTATGACGTGTGGGTGGTTGACCTGCTTCAGGAGGGTGAACTCGGACAGGAGGTCACGCAGCTCCGTGTGTGAAGCGTTTTCTGTTGAGAAGGAAGCAAGAAGCACCTCATCATTTTCAGGCTCTCGCTCCTCATTCATCATCGTTACTTCCATTACTGGCTTGGCCAGTTTTACCTTTAAGCATTTTCACAGCCACAGTGGTGTAACCGGCTTTTCCTTTCAGTCTGAACGCCGTTGCCTTGACCACTTTACCGAACTCCCCTTCGCCTAAAGTCTTCCCCAGAACCAGGTTTTTACGAGGAAACTCCCACTTTGGATCTTCCTGTAAAAGCAATAACACATCATCAGAATTAGGTTGTAACTAGTTACTTTAAGTATACATAGACGGCAGCTCTCCTCATTCACATAAGATGCACATGGAGAAGCAGAAAAAGGAGAGGAGGCAATGACAAAAGAAGGAAGGCTTAGATAAGGAGAAGACAAAACAAAATATCAACTTTTCTTGACAAAAATCAATGTTCAGGGAAAATGAAAAAGAAAAAATGCATATCTTGATGGAAACTTTTGTAAAGACAAGGAAAAACTAAATCTATATTTATGGTTTCATTTCCTATTATGTCAGTTTTGGTCCTCCATACATCCTCAGATCCTACTCATTACACAAAGTAGTGAGTCTGATAAAAGCCTTACAGGTATTTTAAAGGCGTCTGCCTCTATGGATTCCTGTGAGCCTCTTCGCACGTTGTTGGCAGGGAAGCTGATGGGGTAAGACTGAGCCGGCCGACGGAAGGTCATCTCAGCGAACGCGATGGGAGCCTTGGGGGAGTTCTTGTGGTACCAGTGGATAAAGTATGAGGACAGGAGGACGGAAATGATGAAGCAGCAGAGGAGAGCGGTGGCAACGATGGTTTTACACATGTCGTCACATATCACGTCTGGGAACCCTGATGGAAGAAACTATATGTTAATAACAACTATATGCAAAATATCCCAGTCCCAGCTTCCCCACTCTACAGAGGACAAAGTTTTTAGAAACAGTTGAGACCCAAATGGAAGAACAAAAACATGCAGATCATTACTTTTCCATAACGATAAGACTTCATTTTCAGTACTCATTATGACCTCCTCCAGCCTCACTCACTGTTTTTTGACACAACGGCCTCGGCGTCCGCGTTCTCGCAGAAGCATTTCTCAGAGAAGCAGTAGCAGGTCCCGTAGCCGGCTCTGATGCCGCTCCCGCTCAGGCCTCGTTCATGGCCTCCAGTTACACTTTCCGCTGCACAAACAAACATGCATGTAATCTGCACATACAGGTGGTTTCAAATGACGTATGATAGAAAGTTGTTGTTTCTTACTTGTACAGTCCTGTGGACAAATTGAAGTGTCTCTGCTTTCCACCGCATCGCAAACGCTATCGGGACATGTTCTCAGGTCAGGGGAGCAAGTCGAGTAGTTCTCAGATATTCCTGGAAAATAAACAAAAACACGTTTATTTTTTCAGTTTTCAGCTTCATTCTTAGATTACATTTCTTTGACAGGATTTAAGCCTTTTATTCTTGAGACAATAGTATATATTACTAGTGGTTAGCATGCTACTGCTAGCCCACATATCAGCATTTTAGCCAATCTTGGTATTGTTGCTAGTCTTAGTTTACACAATATTGTTTGCATACTGAAGGGAAAAAGTGAAAGAAAGTCAACACGCTAGTGATACCCTGCATGTCATTGACAACATTTTAGCTAGCCTTAGCTTTATTGCTAATTATCAGCGTCAAAGCGCTTGATCCGACAGGTACGCGCACTTTGGATGAACTCTTTCTTTAGAAATTTTTTTGTTTCTATTGTTCATCCGCTGTCATCAGTGATCATGCTAACTAGCATTAGCAGGCTATGCTAGCTGCAATGCTAAGACCTGCCTTCTGGTTCTGATTGGTTGTTTCTAGGTAGTACTGGGAAGACTGGGAGAAGGTGAAGAGCAGGAGTTTTTCTAATTGTCTCATATTGTCACAACATAGGGACAACTTAAACAAATGTGTAAAGAAAATGTTTTATAAAAGTTTCATACAGCAGCTAGCATAATGTATGTATCAGTGTAAGTTGTTTTCTGGATTTTTGTTGCAATAAATTAACTTTTCATGGATGATAATCTAGTTTCCTAAGATGCACCTGTTTGGGAGAAGCGGGTTTTGATACGTTTCTGTTTATTTGATGATGCTAAACTGCTGCAGCAGCATCAGAGAGCCTCTGCTGTGCTTTGTTTTGTCGTTTTTGGTGCGTGAGCGCTACCTTTCTCAGAGCCTTGTCTCCACTGACACGCCCCAGTCGTTGCTCCCAGGCCTTGAGACGCCTCACAGTCGTCTCTCTGTCTGTTCTCTGCGCAGGACAGCAGCTGCTGGCTCTCCTGACTGACATTTGCTGCATGAAACAGAATCAGAAACATTAGCAACCAGCTGAATGTGGTCAGTATGTAACGCTGGTTGGGGTGGTTTACCTTCACCGTGCAGTAAAATGCGGATCTGAGTGCTGGCGACCAGCTGAGTGTGTTCCTCCTGAGCTACCACCGTGTAGTCCAGGTCCTGGCAGCCCGGCTTGCTCAGTGCGCCGGAGTTATTAACGTATAACACTCCCAGCATCCTGTCTGGAGCCTGGGTGATGCTTATAGCGGAATAACACGACAGCAGCTCAGACGACATGTTTTTATCCGGAACCTCCAGCTGGTAAGAGACGCTGAAGCCGTCGAACTCCAGGCAGTTTTCCACACAGATTCTTCCAACCTGACAGGAAGAACAACAACATGGTTCAGATATGTTGTGGATTAAAACATGTCTTTTTTAAATTAGTTATGAACCATTTAAAACCATTTTCACCTTTACTTTGACTTCTGTCCTGTAGAAAACTAAAATAATGTTTCCGATTAATCGTTTTGAATCGATTATTCAATAATCGTCAACTAATTTAGTAGTCAAATAATCGCTAAGTTGAGTATAGAGACCCCAAAAAAGATAATCGCAGAATGTTTGACACACATTTAGACCACTTTTACTGTGAACACATCAGAAGAATTACATTTTATAAAGCATGGTGTGGACGGTAGGGTTTCGCGTACCTGTGCGTATACTGAAGCTTTTCGTGACAGCGTGAAGACGTCTGTGATGTTGGCGAAGCGGATCTGAACCGGTAAGATGGTGACGTTGAAGTGCAGCAGCACCGTTCCCTCCAGACCCGGATAGGTGGTGTCATTCACCAAATAATCCAGAAACACAGTCCGGTTCTCCGTGATATCCAGGTTCCTCTTCAGGATCAACTCTGAAGAGGAGATTTATTCTAAATGAGTTATTTTCTTGATTCAGAGGGAATCTCGTTCAGAGGATTACTTACGGTAATCGTAAACTGACTCTCGAATGCCACCAGGGGACGCTCTGCGTTCACTGAAGGTTCCCTTTATGTCAAATGTGTCTTTAATCCAGGACTCACTGCTCAGCAAAGTCCCCACATACCTGCAGTCAGGAAGTAACTAGTTACATTTACTAGAAAGATGTACTTTTAGGAGTATTTTCACTACACTGTACTTTTTCAATTTTGCTTGAGTAAAAATATGTTGAAATAGTGCTGGAACGTCAGTCCTTTAATTCTGGAAATGTTCATCAGGAGATGAAAGACAGACTTTGTAAGAATCTTTATGTGATTCTGAATGTTCAGGCTAAATACATCGTTTTTCATCAATAAGACATCTTTACTGTTTTAAGTGAAACAATTTACCAGTAGAACTAGAACATGTTTATCTAAATAATTGACTTAAAACAAGTAAATTTATTTAGTCTAAAACAAAATCAAGAAACTGGACAAAATATTTGGTTCAATTTAGGATTTTTTAACCTCAAAGTCTACTTCTATACACTTTCAACAAATACTTTTTTTACTTTTACTAGAGTAATTTCTTTTTACTTTTATTTTCATGTTTCTGTGGAGGTGTTGAGTTTTACTGCAGGGATATTTTACCTGTTGTGGCTCAGGTCTTTGGGAAACAAGGTGGTTAAATCCCTGTCAAAGACAAACAAGGTGCCAAAAGCTGCGCCCTGAAAAACAAGAATAAAAACCTCAGTTTGAGTCGAAACATTAAAAATATAATTCCTCAGGTAAAATGAGCCAGATTTGCTTCCCACCTTCGTCCGGTTGAAGCTGATGACGAGCTCCGCCGTGTCCGTCCCGTTGACGTAAGGCGCGTTGTCGTCCTCATCGTCCACGAAGACGTCCAGCGGAGTTTCCACCTTGGTGACGACGCTCTCCGTTTGAACCGTGCAAACCAGCAGCAGCCGGTAGTTTTCGCTCTCCTCCCGGTCCAGCGGGGCGGTCACCACCAGCTCCGAGGTGTTTCCGTTCACGGCGAACGGAGCAGGAGCCTCTGCAGAAACATGGCGCCTGGTGAGTGCAAAGCTTTTCAACCCTGAGCCACAAGCTTCCGCTAACTGCACAGCTAAACCTTAGATTAGCGCTTTTGCTAACTTTGAAACATTACATTAAATTTTCCAGATAATTTACTATTTTGTACATTTCGAGTTGAATAAAAGTCAACATCTGTGTCTGTTAATCGTATGTAAAAATAAAACATTTCAAGTTGAGGTCATATCTAGTTTACTAAACTTTTCAACTTTAGTAAGTTGAAAAGTATTTTTTAATAACTGATTAAGTATTTAATATGAATTATATTAGTCTTAGCTGCAGTTGTGGATACACTTCCACTGATGCAGTGACAGCAGAGCTAGTTTTTAGATTAGCGCCTTTGCTAACTTTGTAATTGTGTAGCACATTTTGCTTCCTCTAAATGAACTGAAGCAATAATTTACTCATCTGTTTTGTAAATTTTCAGTTGAATAAAGTTAAAAGTTTGATCAAGTCAAGTATTCATGCTCTTATTTTGAAATAAGTGAATACTGCTTATGCAACAGTTCCATTTTATTTTCGTCTCTTCATTTTCTCAATAACTTTATGTAAAACTGATATTTTGCATGTCAGTTTCTTTATTCATCAGATCTTATTTTGAAGAGATGAAACCATTGTGCTGCTGTTTCTAAATCCGTCAGCAGGTGAGAGCAGATCTCACCTGACTCCACGCCGTAGGTGATGGTGTAGTTGGGGCAGACAGTGAGTCTGGTGAGCCGCCGGAGTTGGCGGAGAACCCCAGGGAACCTGTTCTCTATGATGTGCGGGTTGGACGTGTCTCTGTGCGGGAAGCAGAGCTCCTTCATGTCCGTCTGGGCGCAGCGCGGCATCGAACCGTTGACAAAGTCCAGCGTGATGTGAGCTGAGTTCCTGGAGCATGGTGCGCGCTTGCTGACGCTATTTAGAGCCATGACTTGGAGAGCGAGCCGCTTGGCGGGCCAGGAGTTCTGATCTGATGAGAAACGGCGACCAAAACAAACAGAAGAGGCAATTTAATCTCAGACTGGACTCTTTCTTTTTCTGATGACTTGGCTTTACTTTGAGGCGAAGCAATTATGTTATTATAGCGGCGGAAGAAACCCGGACAAAGAGCCAGAGCGTTATTAGCATGCAGAGAGCGTAAACATCAGGAAGTGCATTTAGGAGACGCATCTGGCAGGAGAGCAGGAAAATGCATCAGAATCAGGAAAGTGAACCTGAGCGGAGCTGGTTCCCCACCTCGCTGCCAAACATTTGAGCTGCTGAAGGTTTTTGTTTGTGCCACTTTCGTTTTATGTTAGATTTTATAAATATGGGGGGCTGGCTGACCTCTGAAATGTTTTAATATCGTTAAGTATAAATGTATATAAAAATTAGAGGCACAAATTAAAATTGTTGCTGCACAACAATTCTGTCTGACTTGAAGGAAACCAAAGCTTGTGTCCAACTCACACAGCGAGGCGAAGTCCGTCTCCTCCAGCGTCTTGCTGAGGGACAGCTCTCCGGTTTGGACGTCCATCTGGAACCAGGCCGCGTACGGCGGCCGCCTGCTGCCGCACAGGTAGAAATGCGGCCGCTCGGACCTGCCGTCCAGCATGGCGTGGACCTGAAGGACGGGCATCCCCGCTGGCTGTCCAACGTACACCGTCTCAGTGTATTCCTTCTGAGGGAAGTATAACCCCGCCACTCCTGCAGGGACAAGAACAAAACCAAATGATCTCACTGGAAACTGGACCGGATCTTTAACTGTTCAGAACTTTACGTGAGTTTTTTTTGGATCCGGAAAATAGTAAAGACGCCCAAGACATTAGTGTCCAATGTCTTGACACAAAATGACCAAACCAGTTCTACTTTCTCCTGAGAAAGTCCATATGTCCCTAGTGAGTTGGACACCAGGGACGACCCTTGATCCCGATTCTGTTCAAGGTGTTCAAGGACAGGATCATTCGTCATCATAAGGGTCATCTTCGTTTTAGGCAATTTGGTTCTCTTTTTATCATTTGGATGGTTGGTTGGACGGTTGGATGGTTGGTTGGATTGTTGTAATGAACCTCCTCCCCGGTTGATTTCACGTGACTCTCCGTTGACCTTGAGTTCACCTTCAGCATCTTAATTTCCGGGGATGACATTAGGAGCGATTCCTCCCTAAGCTGCACCGCGATCCATAAAACACGAAGCGCTGAGTGTTTTACAGGAAACGGGAGTCGTCTCGTCCTGTAATTATATCCCAGTTATGTGTCGACGACGGGCGGCCATTTTGGGAACGCGCTAATGTCATTAGCAGGGAGCTAAACGAGATTTTCTATTTGTGCCGGGGCGGTTTGAGGCCCAGCTCCCGTTTCAGGCATTGATCTAATTTGGTTGGATGACAGGAGGGTGAAATGCAGCCGCTGCTTCCTGAAACACAGAGATCCACTCAATGAGGCGCTGACCTTTTCATTAAATGGCTTCCTGAGGCCAAAACAAACATCCAGACACTCGACCGGTTGGACCCGGAGAGTCCGATCATGAAGAACCGGCTGCACTAAGGCGTCAACATGGCAACCAGGGGAAAAAAACAAAACGTTTAAAACAACGAGTCTGAACGTGAAGAGGATCCATCCATCCATCCATCCATCCATCCATCCATCCATCCATCCATCCATCCATCCATCCATCCATCCATCCATCCATCCATCCATCCATCCATCCATCCATCATCCATCCATCCATCCATCCATCCATCCATCCATCCATCCATCCATCCATCCATCCATCCATCCATCCATCCATCCATCCATCCATCCAATTCTTTCAGATTCAGCTCTATATTAATAATCAATAATAATAAATTAGTCTATCCATTAATTGCTGAATTTGAACATAAAAATATTTAAATCCAAATCTCTGAACCTTCCAGATGAAACATTCATTTAAATACCCAGGATGGCCACAGGAGGGCGCTGTTACCATCCAAACACAAACTGCTGATTTCTCTCCTCCAGTTATTTTAATCTCAATATTAGTTTTATAATTATTTCAAGTTTACTAAACCGCTCTAACGCTGGGAGCCGGTGGTGCAGGGAGGGTTCTGGCTGCAGGCCACTGGGCCCAAACCTCCCACCAGCACCAGCACCACCAGCAATGCTCTGCAACACAATTTGTTTATTTCATTCAAAATTCAATTTGTTTCCAGGACAGAAGCCAACAGAAGGAGAACCGTTTATATCAGGAGTAATTAGCTGGATGGACGGAGCGAGGCGTTCTGCAGATCGACGGCGTTCTGCGGGGGCCGTGGTATTCTGGGGGTGCCGCGGCGTTCTGCGAGGGCCGTGGTATTCTGGGGGGGCCACGGCGTTCTGGGGGGGCCACGGCGTTCTGGGGGGGGCCACGGCGTTCTGCGAGGGTCACGGCGTTCTGCGAGGGCCACGGCGTTCTGGGGGGGCCACGGCGTTCTGCGAGGGCCACGGCGTTCTGGGGGGGTCACGGCGTTCTGCGAGGGCCACGGCGTTCTGGGGGGGGCCGCGGAGTTCTGCGAGGGTCACGGCGTTCTGCGGGGGCCACGGCGTTCTGCGAGGGCCACGGCGTTCTGGGGGGGCCACGGCGTTCTGGGGGGGCCACGGCGTTCTGGGGGGGGCCACGGCGTTCTGGGGGGGCCGCTGCGTTCTGGGGGGGCCGCTGCGTTCTGCGGGGGCCACGGCGTTCTGGGGGGGCCACGGCGTTCTGCGAGGGCCACGGCGTTCTGGGGGGGCCACGGCGTTCTGCGAGGGCCACGGCGTTCTGGGGGGCCACGGCGTTCTGGGGGGGCCACGGCGTTCTGCGAGGGCCACGGCGTTCTGGGGGGGCCACGGCGTTCTGCGGGGCCCAGGGTGGTCAATAGGTCACTGAAAGCTCATTTCATTCAGTAATTCAGCTACAAACAGAGAATCTCATGTTTTTGTTACTTGTAAAATACTTATTTGTTTTCTGTTTTTCTTCATAATTGTCAATAAAAAAAAATTCTGCATCTTACAAAATTATGTTCAATTATGAATCTTCATGAACTCATAGAGTGCAATATTTTAGATTTTATATAAAAAACTTAAGAGAGAGAAAGAAAATATAACTTAAAATAATTTTTATAATAATTTGGATTCAGAGCAGCGACGATGGAAAATGTGTCAGTTTATGCAACAATCTTGACTACATTTCTTTCTGCATTTAAGAGAAAGTTTTAAATGATCGTCATTAAGTAAGTTTAGTTCAAACGTGTTGAATGAGCTGATTTTTTTGTTTTTGAAATATGGCTGAAATTGTTTTCTCAGTTTAAACGTCTTTCATGATTTTTCATTTAGTTGTTAAATTAACTATTTGGATTTATTAGTGAGGGAATTAATTCTGTCATTTAAAAATGTTTATTTCTTTTTAATTAAGTTATTTTTAATTAGTTTTAGCTTGCAGATTTTTCTGGACCGTCTTTGTTACAGCCTGTTTGTCTGTATTGCACCAAAGATTTTAAACATTAACGACATAAAAAGACGTTTTACAGCCTTCAATCGGCTATAAAACCGATGGCTGTGCATGAGGCTTCGTTCATGAAAACCCAGATTAAGTGATTCTTCAAACACACTCTGTGTTTGAACAGGACAATCTGTGTTTACAACAGATATCATGCACCGCTGTGTGGGCAGAGAGACTGGACTTACATAAGACTGGAAAACATTAAGTGACTCTTTTCTCCTAGGGTTTGTATTTTAAAGACGCCGCCCGGTGGGGTATTGATTTATTTTCATTTTTTGTAAAATAAAACGTACTGAGGATAAAAACACAGCTGGGTAATGAAGGACTGATTTCCATCGCAGAGTTTTAGAAAGTTTTTGAAAAGCGTAACAGAAAAACCTCCTCTGTCTGCTTTATGTTCGTTTGGGTTAGTGACATCACAAGAGGTAAAAAACTGGGATCGTCTTCAGAACCTTTTCTGTTTTTGTTCCTGTTTGATTTATTTGACTTCTGGTTTCTTTATTTCCCATATTCAGCCAATCAGAGCCAAGGAAAATAATGTCTCTCTTTGATTGGCTACGCTGCTAACACCAGCAGTAGCGCGTCAGATAGCATTGCGTCTATATAGTTTAGTTTCCCAAACTATATTTTCTCAGAGATATTCTGCATGATAAAATCCGTGAATAAGCAAATTTTCCACAAATAGTAACTTATAAGTAACTTTTCAGCAGTAAATATGTTTTTGTTTTAAGTAAATAATTGCTTAATATTAATCAAAAAGTACTACTTTATAGATTATTTGACTTATAACACGGGGAAAATGTCTTGCTGTAAGTGAAGTAATCTGCTAATGGAAACTTTTCAATCAATATTAAGGATTATTGACTCAAAACGAGCTCCTGTTTCTAATGATTGGGTTTCATCTTATTTTAAGTGTACTAAGATATTTAGACTCGACACTAAACCAGAAATACTTTGTGTTTTTGTTGTGCTCACAGGCTGGGGCAGCTCTTTCCACCAATCTGATGGCTGAATAACAAAAGTAATGAATAAATATCTCTGATGCTGAGCTTTTGTGTTTATCTATCCAATAGTTTAGCAGCATAAATGGTTTGATTTTGTGTTTTTGCAGTGTAACAACTGCCTACCAAGTTGGCTGTCAGTTACAAAGTTGTCAGAACGGTGTATACTTGAGGTGATAAATTATGTTTACGGTGGGCTTTTTGGGGAGATTTAATTTAAAATGTGCCTGTGGCTTTAACTGAGCGAGAACAAAAAGGACAAAGGTTCGTCGCACAATCAGTCTGGATGCGGCTGATAGGGCGGGACGCCCTTTCCATCGCCCCAGACAAAGACAGGAACTCAATTACCGCAACGCGTGCTTCGGCGGACAGATTTACCAGCTATGAGCTCATGGCGTATCCCGGCACCACCTCTGATTATAAAAATCACAACTGGAGGAGCAAAGCAGGGAGAATCCTCAGAAAAATCACACATCAGAGCCATCGTCCTCTGTGCAATCAACAAGAAGCGATCAATAACTGCAGTAATCATCAGAGAAGCTGATTGTTTTCCACACATGAGACGGACGCTGGAGGCTGCACATATCCAATCATCTCTGCTGCACATGTGCAGCTCCACAGTTTGGTTAATCAGTATCCATGTTTCCAAATAATCCATCATCTACTGCAGAGCCTCGGAGCCCGGCCGCATTAAGGCGCAGTTATGGGATGATGATGAAAACAAAACAAATATTACAGTCACTCCGAAGCCTGTCGTGATTGCTCTGCGTCCGAAGATGGAGCCGTAATGGGAACGGCTCTGCAATTAACTAAAAAGCTGCACATTCAACTGGAGTTTCACTTATGAAAGATGTTATTGATCTGGATGCACACAGTATTCCTAAAGTCATAAAATTACAAGAACAAAGCCATAAAAATATGAAAATAAAGTCATAATACGAGAAGAATAAAGTCATAAAATTATCAGAGAACAAAGCCATAATATTAGAGCAAAGCCATAAAAATATGAAAACAAAGTCAAATCCTGAGAAAGCCACAATATGTTGAGAGTAAAGGTAATAATATGAAAATAGTCATAATATTTAGAGAAAACAGTAATAATATAATCATGAAATCATAAAAACTGAATATTAATATTTTGACTTTATTCTTGTAATATCTCGACTTCTTTCCCATCTTGTGTTTATCGCTGTGATGTTTTCACTCTAT